AACATTGGGGATGCAAAATCACACACACACACGCACGCACAATGGATGGAAATCACACAAAAGGTCACATGTGGGCCTCGCTCGACGCACGTTACGGCCATGCGGTCCAGATGTGGGGCCGGGATGCGGGAGCGAGATGTGATAGCGAGGACGACGACGACTTATACGGGAGGGTTTCAGTGATGGACATACAAGGTGTATTATACACATGTGCCACTAACATGTTAGATATCAACATCCAATGTTCATCCATTGATACCAGACCAACTCTAATATATGTACCCACGGAGTAGTAATCATGCCCACTCTGGGACTCTGGGACTCTGGGACTCTGGGACTCTGTTGGACTACAACCTTGATGATTCTCAACCAGGGTTTCACACAGATCGGCACCTCAAAACCAACATTTCCAAGCTTCATTTTCGTATATATGCATGCACGGTCTTCAACACCGAGTTCAAGCCACGTACAATACATACAATAATTACCGGTACTCACCCTCGCCTCACGTTACACCCGTCAAGGTCCCTGTCATATTGAACCACACACTCGCTCAACTCTTCCAATGATTCCCACCAGTTTCCGAACACACCCCGCAGTTTGTAAACTCGTCCTCAGACATGGCAAGGCATAGCATCCATCGTCTAACGTTAACTCAAGCCAAGTCTCTCATCTCCCTGACAGAGAGGCTCAGACCGCTCGTCCACGTATCACCACGACAGCCAAGGCACTTGGGAGAAAACTCTACCAAGAAAATACGCCGTACTACGATACGGTACGGTAGGTAGATAAAGTTAGAGGCCGTATCCGATTTCGACCCCCCGATGAATCAGCGGGGGCGCGCTACATGCAACCCGTTTTGGGTAAATCCATTCGACCAGTCAGGTCAGGGTCAATCATCCTGATCCCCTGTCTGAAGCAAGTAAGCTCCGGTCAAGGCCAAGGTCAAGCTGCGATGTGTTGTGCTGTGTCGAGAGGGCGCACCCACGCACGTGCATGAAATTGGGCTCAAGGACCCGAGATATACGAAATCCCCCTCCCAAACTCTGTTTACGTGGAACAGCCCGAGAATGAGAGGCAGCCAAGCCCTTGGAAACATGTCTTGTCTTTTGGGCGGCCCTGGCTTTGGCTTTGGCTTTGGCTCTCTTGGCTCGGTCAATGTTCCCCCCCTCGGTCTTGGCTGTGGCTATGGAGGTTGCTGAACCCTTGATCGACAAAATAATAGCGACAGCTTGTTAGACGGACGCCTTTGGGACCAGATAGTTATCGGGTCCCGGCCGGCGTTTGGATTTGCCCGTAAAGGCGCATTGCGTATGCGGGTCGGGCTTTGCTATTCCCCGCGTAAAGAACATTTTCCATCCTCTGAAACTCTCTCATCATGGATGAAATGAGTACGCGTATTGGTTTTAGTGACCGAACCGGGCTTCAAATTGTGGCCGACCAATCCAATATTCAACTCGAACCATCTGATGTTTACCGACTATGCCTTGCTCATCAAAGCACTAATCAAGTAGAATTTCACCTAGTTATCAATGTGTCTTACCACCATATTCGCTTAGTAGGCATTGGATATAAAAAGATACCCTCAAAACCCTAGCTTCATGAACCCCGTAGATCTAGTGCTGACTTGATCTGCTGGCAAAGTCTGGAACCCAATCAGATAGTAGGATCTACACTACATTTATTTATTACTACATGATATCAATGTCACGCTTATAAGCCCTCATGTCAGCCATGTTGAGCTGGCGCCATTAATGCAATTGTATTACTTTCCCTGCGGTCCCATGTTAGTAAAGTCGGCCGACAGATAGGAGATTTATTGACAATCAACTCTAAGTGGAGCCCGAGCGAGCATATGTATCCGAGATATGTTCTAACAAGGAATGCATTTCGAGTTGTCAGGAGTAGAAGTATGAAATTCGCCTATTCTGCTCTTGTGGTTCCAGGCCATTGGACGAGATGCTCCCTTATCTTAGGTATGAAACGACAGTCAGGAACACATTCATCATGGCGATACTGGTTCCAATGACTTCCTGGTATGGAACTATACGTTGCATGTAGACATCACACAGAGAGGCGTTGGTTTAGTAGTGTTTCCTTGCTATGCACAGTTTAATGATCTTGTTGAGATTTCACGCGAGTAACTATTATATGTAGCCCATTGGAGAACCCCTGATAGTACGATGCCATACTGAACCGAGGTTTGGAGGTCATAATACATGCTTTGGGGGAGAAATCGATTTGATCAGGATAATAGGAGGGGGTTGCTGGAACACTTTGTCCCCTGCTGATGACTTTGCTTGAACACCTCACCGCCGCTCAGCCTATCTTTTTCCTCATCTTCAGTCCGCTGCATACTCTGACTACAGCTATAGAGAAGCTAAGAATTGTTTGAAGTCCTTTCAAAGTCTTTGGTGCGATTGATGTCTTTCTGCTAATGGAAGGATCGTTCGTTACTGGCCAAGGAAATCCCATAGGCCGATATATCAGAACTCTGGGCACGCAGAGTAGTATATCACCCTCTACTGATGGCTCAAAGTGTAGTATTGTAAAGATAGAACTCACAGTGAGCACTTGTCCTGTATCACTGCCATGGACCAATATCGTTGTGTCCCTGCCCGAAGCGTATTGCTGCTACATCGTCTGGCATTGTCTGCTTACCCTTGAAGATAATGTTTGTCTCCTTTCCAGAGACTCACGATTGCTGTAAAGTTAGAGGCTATTGTAAATTGGTCCTGGGTGACTTCGTACAGATGCTATCGACCGAGGCTGGACTACAACGATCCAGAAGGGGTTGAGTTTGAACTGCCATCAGCATTCCAAGACCTGCTGGGTCAAAATAGAATTCTAGTCGTGGTATTCGATTATAAACAGCTATAGCTCTGCTGGTGTCACATAAGAGAATCACTTTGTAGACTTGAATGCCACCTCTGTAACTTGCACAGTCAGTTGGAAGACGCCAATTCTCGGCATTCTTTGCCAGTGGAAGACAGTTCCATATACTCAGTATGTCCTGGTAGTTTTTTATCCATTTCCAAGTACCGAAATAGACATAGTAGCTGTCCTACGAGTCGATGCTGTGGTGGTCAACCTCCCATATGTCAGACCGTCAATGACGTGTGTCAATACTATTAAGAAAGCTGTTGATATGACTCTGGCGTCTTTTAGGTAGAAGGAAGATAAAGTTTAATCTTCACGTCTTCGTGGAGTCATTGTCGATGTTATATATCATTCAACATTGTGCCTGGGACTGACAACCTGCACTATCATCTATGGTTATATGCATGCCTTAGGAGTATGAAAACCTATGATTAGATCCTCAGATGCCTATAGATTCTCTAGAAAACACTTTGACAGCGAATCGGGCTATCTTGTGCAGGACCTCTAACATGTTTAAACTGTGAACGGGTAATATGAGCATATGAGACTGTGTTCTAAAAGACGAAGGATATGTATCTATTTTCACATATTGACTGAAGGAACGCATCCAAAGGACCATGATTCAAGAACAAACATGAGTTCTTGGGAAGTTATATCAATGTCGCAAAGGAGTACAGCTTTGGTATATTGACTACAGGGTGCTGGAAACGCCTGACAGAGGCTTTACACTAATGGTACCTATTTACATCACATAAAATCGCAGATAACGTGCCGCGAGACTTTGAACATTCAAAAAATGAACAGAACTATCTTGCCAAAGCTATAGCAAAGGTCAAGTCACATTACCGACGCTAAACGCCCCTGCCCCTATTCCGTGTCCCATGTCCTCACAACGCCAGTTGTATCGTGATATCTCATCTCTTCATTCGTGTTCACATCTCTCAATTCTTGATATCCAAAACCTGTGTCAACACACCCTCACTCGCTCTCCACCAGCGAGCTCTCTCCTCCAGGTCGTCGGCTGCACCGCCCAAAGCGGCCTCCTTTCTCCTCCTCGCCTCACGCGCAGCAGTCGCGCTATTCTGGCGCTTGTTCTCAAGAGGCTGCAGCTCAATGCGAAGTCTTTCAGCCTCCTTTCTTTTCCGAGGGACCTTGGCTTGTAAGGACTCGAGCTCTCGCGCAAGTTCCTGCTGTTCCAGCTTGCGTTGGTTGACGAGATCCTGAGTTTTGGCTAGAGGCAGATTCATGCTGGGAGCGGATCCATCTGGTGTTTCTAGTTCTGTGCGTAATTGCTCGATTCGCATTTCCAAATCCTCGATCTTTGCAGGCATCTCACTCAGCTTTGCCGTTTCAAGTTGCACGCTCTCGTACTTCTGGCTGAGCTCGATACCTCTCCTCTCAAGATCTGCTACCATATCCGCCACTTCTGTCTTTAGTTCTTTGAGTTGCTTCTTTGCAACCGCGTTTTCCTTTTCAAGCTCCAGGTTCTCTTCCATTGTGACAATCATTGGTGGGTCACCGACAATGGCTCGGATGAACTTTTCCTTTGTGACTTGTTGTACATATGAGAAGCGCAGTTTGGCAAAGAGTTCTTTGTAGTGTGCTAGATCAGCTGTCAGGCCTGCGGGAGTTGGCGCGTCAAAGGCTGAATTTGATGCATCTGATGTTCGATGCCGGGCATCTTGAGGCCTTGAGCTTGAGATGGGTTCACTGAGTTTGATGATTGAGATGTCTTGCGATGACTGAAGTTTGTTCAAGGCTTCAAGCACCTTTTCTGGATTTGGTTGACTCATGGCAGTCTGGGAAATGGTGAAATTGTGGCAAAAATAAGACCAATTATCAGGCTCGTGATATAGAGTTGATTGATTGTGTTTAGTTGAACGCGGATATGGACGGGATGTTTACTTTGAAACCTAATTTGGGTTAGTGGGAAACCGTTTGTGCCACAGGCGGTGTGGAGGGGCAGAAGACTGCTGACATCAATGCATTGCACTTCTAGCCATGGAAACACAAGAGCTGCAACCTCGACTTACAACCTTTTTTTGGGGGGGGCGCAATCTCTGGGCAATATACATATTTTACGACTGGCGCGTATCCTGGACTCTCGAGCCCGATCAATAATGTCCAAAAACGACGAACTTTTGACTGATGATTATGTCGCGGACCTCTTGTCGCAAGAGGCAAGCGACTGCTCCCTCAAATATTCAGCCATGGGTATGGAAGCATATCGCTCGAATAAGAAGTAATGCATACACCCACCAATTCTGGCAAGTCTGTTGCTGACATGGCTTCAGACCTGCGAATATGATGAAACCCAACACCCGGTTTTTACGACATATCATAAAGGATACCGACAATCACAACAAGGCGCTATTAGCCAAAGAGGCCGCCGAGTCCAAGGCACGACTCAAGGATCTCGAGCGCACGGAAGAAATCAAGCGGCGCAAGACAAACCCAAGTGTTCATGACATTCGACGGCGGCAGATGGGCGATATTCATGCCATTCTAGGCGGCAAGAAACGGCCAAGAGACGAAGATGAGGCTGGCCCTTCTTCAAGGAGAGAATCGCGACGCGCCGACAAGGATCGAAGGCAGGAACGCAAGCACGAACAGAGATTAGACGACCTCTTCACAGACAAACGCAGTGAGCAGCGACAGCACGGTCGACTGTCGCGCGACGATCGTCGTAGTAAGACTGACGATGAATCGAGACAGTCGGATAGGTCACGACGGGATCACAGACATCGCGATAGGACACGGAGCAGAGACAGATACTCCGACGAAGAAGGACATCACCGTCGAAGTCATAAACGGAGAGACAGGTCTAGATCACCTGGAAGCCGACGACGGTCTCGATCGCCCAGAGAATCTAAGAGTAAGCATCGACATCGATCGCCTCTGGTTAAGAACGAAGACCGCAAGCGGAAGGAAGAGGAAGAAGAGGGATCGGATGCCATGGAAGATCTGATCGGACCCGCACCACCCCCGAAATACCGGGGACGAGGAACAGTGGGAGGGTCTTCGGGTATCGATCGACGGTTTTCAGACACATACGACCCCAAGACTGACATACAAATGGACGAAGATGAGGTTGGCAATGACTGGGATGATGCTGTTGAGGCGTTTAGAGACCGCCAAAAGCTACGGCAAAATCAGGAGCAACGGCTGAAAGACGCCGGATTTGCAGACGAGCAAATACAGCGTGCGAGTGGTGCAGATGAAAAGTCTGCGGAAAATGTGCAATGGTCCAAGGCTGGGGAGAAAAGGGCTTGGGATGTTGGCAAGGTGATCGGGTCAGACGGAGTGGCCCAGCCAGAAGTTTAGTTGAGCATCGGTACGACCAACGGATTGGATCGAGGTTATGAGCCGAGACAGTGATTCACAGATGATGATTGGATATAGCGTAACATTCTTTCACTGCCTTGTTTTGAAGGATTGCTTTGGGCGGGTTGATCAGGGAGATAACGACCTTTTAGGATAGACATGGACGTACAGCGAGCGGAGTTCAAATAGACGCATTGGAAATAGGACACGCGGGTCCTAATAAAAAAGGTTATACGAATGCCACAACGTAGCCTCCACTATCGCCCAAACCGGTGCTATTAAGGCAGAATCACAGGTCACTGAAGACTGAAGTCAGTAGGTAGGTATGTATCTACAGGCGCACGGATGGCATTTGGATCACATACAAAACTGAATTCGGTGCCTGGATCCGGGCAAGCCAGAAGAGGCATGGATCGAAAACGCCATGTTTGACCAGATCGTGGTAGTGGCACAATTACACGGCCGATTCTGGCAATCCCTAGCTTTGAGGCTGGATGGCGGTAACGCCGATGGAGCGATACCCAAGCTGGGCAATCGCAAGTCATCATTATAAGTTAATTTAACTTGAATACAAGCTTAAACTTGATTCAAAGATGCAACCGAGTAATCAGTCTATGGTATGAGGTTATGTTATCCCTTTTGCCCAAGGGATTGTTGATCTCGACCTCAAGCAGCCCTTCAGCCCTTTAGCCCTTCGGATAAGGAGAAGAGACCAACAAACAAGGCCAGAAAAGCTTGGTCGACGCACGTCCAAGGGAATCAATCAATAATGGATCTATTTTAAGGTCAAACCAAACGAAACGTGGACCTGCATCTGCAGACCCGTTACGTTGCCGAGGCAGGGTACGGCAGGGCAGGGCAGAGCAGGGTTGGATTTAGATCAGGTACGAGAGAGGAGAGGGATCTTTGTTCAAGCTGTCTTTATACGAGCTTGATTGGTGAATTCGTATCTTGTGTTGCGCAAGCACTCTGAGGGTCGATCATTGGAGGTAGCGTAATATGGGTGGATGAAAGGTTTCATGGTTCCGCGGGTCTCCGCAGCCCGCCGTTAGAGCCTTAGATCCAATCCTGTACCTAAAGTTAGGTAGCTGAAGGCTTAGACATATTCACTGTGTCTGTGTCTGTGTCCGTTCTGATTGAAGGGACTCACCTGACGCTCTCACGTGTCAGAAGCTAACAAAAGTTGCCAACATTAGGTAGTCAAGAAGAGAAAAGAGGCTCCGAGAAACAACCACATCATCTCGTCTCATGCACGGAGCATAGAGAGAATGGAGAATGGCCGTAGCCGACCGTTTCACCGACAGCAAAACAAAACACGCGACTTTGTCAACACACTACGACGTCGCACCTGTACCTGTACCTGTACCTGTACCTAGAGGGCCTATATTTTCTGTTCCTAGCTAGCAGGGTCAGTACGCCAAAGAATTTGTTGGTCTGTTGCACAGCAACTCGTCCAAGGCTTCGCAGCCTCGAGTCACGAGTTTACGGTTGCGGTAGACGCTCAGGAACAAGATTGATTGACTTTGAGGCGTCAAGTTTACCCCGAATATCTACTAACTTGGAGCTTAGTTCTGGATATGAGTGAGGTGGAGTAGCCAGCGCTAGAGAGTGGAGGCTGTTTCGTGACGTGACGTGACCACCAGAAGAACAGAACAGAACGTAAGAGAGAGCAGCCAAAGGCCAAAGAGACCCTGGTTTTGAAGGGCGCCTGATCATGACAGGGACCCACGGGAGTTGTCCAGCTGAGTCGGGTTGGATTGGGTTGGGTAGGTCTCTGTTCATGGCTTCACTTGACCTCGAGTCAAAGTCGAGTTGAAAAAAAGAGCCCGACTCATGTGTAACCAAACAAGACAAAGCTCTTATCTCTCTCTCTCCAGTCTTGATCTGATCTGATCAACTGATTCTGAGACGTTGTTGGGTGGCCCACCCCAGCAATAGCCAAGTAAAGCTCTCTTTAAAAGTCTAGAAGCCAAAGACACCTTAGGGACCTTGAAATGACAGGGGTCGAGGTGCCGGTTACAGCGCTCACAGCTCTAGCCTCCAGGTCACCCCCGCCCAGAAACCTCCACTTACGGCACCATGCCGCGTGCGTCTCTCTTTGTCCCTCCCCCTCTCATCAGCCATTGCCATGCCATGGATGTCATTGATTCGAATGCATTGTCTTTTGTCGTCACTAATAACACACACAGAGAATTGATAACCTTTGTATTGTAACTTTTATGATCTGCTCTCTTCCCACTCCCCATCGCCAAGAAGAGAGTTTACATATTATTCTTTTTTTTCCCTGTGTGAGATCGATCTAGTTATCACTGATCTTAACCGATTTGACTTTGCAGTCAGTCAGGCCAGCCACACTGACATCAACTTTCCTTATTGGCACTGCACTCACTACTCACTCACTCACGTTGTTTGCCTGGCAACTGATACTGACCTTCTTCTGTCTCTTCTTGTTACTTGAGCCTCCCGTCTCATCATAAAGCAAAGTCCCCGACCTAGGCCATGCCATAATTTTCTCTCACTCACGTCACCTTTCCCCATCGAAGCTTCACTTCTTTTTCTCTTCGCTTCCTCCATCCTCTTCTCCAAAAACAAAAAGAGAGTGACCAGCCAACAAACGGATGATCGGCCTAGACCAGAGGTGACGTCTTTGGTTTATGTGACTTGTATATCTCCGAGTGACCCCAAGCCCAAACCCAAACCCAAACCCCAAGGTCACCTCACTCACACCTCAGCTCACCAACACCAACCTCTCGTTCTCTCTCTTTTATCCTCTTCCTCCTCTTCCTTCTTCTTCCTTTCGCTCTCTCTTATCCTCGTCTCCTTTCATCTATTTTGGAGAGTTTTGTTTTTGTACAGTCGCTCAAAATGCGTCCCCCGCGCGTTTTTGTTCTTATACTCTTCATCGCTGCCTCTCTCCTCCTCTTCTGTCGCGCTATATCATCCTCGCTTCGTGCCGCCTACGCCGATTACCCCGCTGGTAACTTCAGGTCTAGACAAAAGACTGACTCCAAGTCGTCTCACTCTCGGTCGCATGATGATGATTCAGAAAAGTCTCCAAAGTCCGTTTGGAATTCCATGTACTACAACACCCCATTCTCATTATTTCCACCAAATGCTGCCATCAGCTTGACCGACGACAACAGCACTTCCTTTGCCGCCCGTCCCGCCGCTTTTGGTCCTAGGCTCGCTATGCGAGGTCTAAGTGGTCAGTTATGGGTGGGCAGTGGTTTCGCAGAGGATGCTCTTATACATGGTACCGGCGAATTGGGCTGCAGCGACACGCCAGGTTGGAATGAGAGAGCAGAGGCCATTGCTCTGCACAAGGCCTTGAGGGCTGCTGTCCCTTCTATTTCGACTTCCAGGTCCAGCACTTCTGTCCGTGCTGCTAAACGAAGCCGAGTCGTTATCCCCAACGCTGGCAATGGTCACACCACCTCCAGCCATGTCTCGGTCATGCATGACCATTCCGAAATCGACGGCAAAGTGGCGCTACTAATGCGAGGCGGTTGCGGTTTTCTCGACAAGGTAATGTGGGCGCAGCGAAGAGGCGCTCTCGCCGTCATTGTTGGCGATAATCAGAAAGGCGGCCCTCTTATTCAGATGTTTGCGCATGGCCCCGAGGTCGATAATGTCACCATTCCATCCGTTTTCACCGCTCGCACGACCGCGCAGTTGCTGTCTGCTCTAACGCAACCAGGCAGCTTCATTGAAGATACATTAGACAACCAAGGCAACCCTGTTCTTAGAGTTCAGAGAGGTCCCAAGTCTAGGAAGCACAGTAAACAAGGCGTCAAGTCCACGATTACCGCCTCCACCCACGATAGACGATCTGCCGACGACAGCGACAGCCAAATTGAGGAACAATCTACCAAACCAGCCAACAAAAAGCGAAAGACAGCGCTCAGATATTCCAGGAAAACATTCACCAAGAAAAACAAGGTTGTCAGAGGATCACCCAAAGAAATTCGAAGCCCCCTCTTATCTGAGGATAATTACGACGACTGGAGGCATCCTGGATCCAGAAGGTTTAAACCTGTAATTCCATCCAAGGCTTCCCTTATTCGCGATCGCACGAGCGACGACGACCCTGAACCCGATGAGGAAGAAATCCTGGTTGAATTCTTGACAGAGGATGATGATAACGTTCTTGACTTTTCCCACGAACAAGGCGATGAAGGACATGATGAGCCTGACGAAGCCGATGATGACGCACACGATGGACTCTGGGTCACCATCACTCCCACGAGTAATGCTAGCCCGTTTTTCGACACGCTTCTCGTACTGGTCGTCAGCCCGCTAGTCACTCTGAGTTTCGTATACGCCCTTTTGATTCTTCGCGCTAGAATCCGCCGAAGGCGCTGGAGAGCTCCGAAATCAGTCGTTGAACGCCTGCCCGTGCGCACGTTCCATACAGTCGCTCCCTCGCCGCCTTTGACACCGAGAACTCCTTCACCTCCCGCTCCGACACCCACCACTCCTCTGCTACAGGAATCTCCCTCACGGCCACGGCCTCGGTCGAGGGGCTCAACGGGTACTTCCGAAGAAGAAACGCGATCTAGTGACGCCATACCAACACCTTCAAACCCAACCAGGAACAATGCTCGATCGGAGCGCGAGAAGGGTTCTGGTGGGTTTTCTGCTGAGTGGAAAAAGTATATGGGTCGCCAAGTCGAATGTGTGGTGTGTCTTGAAGAATACGTCGATGGCGTGAGCCAAGTCATGAGCCTCCCATGCGGTCACGAGTTTCACGTAGAGTGCATGTAAGTTCTCCAGATACATGCTTGTATGCAAGTCTCAATTACTAACAGTCTATAGTACTCCTTGGTTGACGACTCGCCGACGAACTTGCCCCATCTGCAAGGGCGACGTGGTTCGATCTCTTGCTCATGGCTCATCATCTGAGCCGCATTACGAACCATATCGCGACGATGCAAGTGATGACGACGATGGCGATGACGATGGAACTATTGCAGAGGGCTCTGGCGCTCGTTCTGATGACCGTGAATCCGATCTTGAACAGGGGCTGCTCCCCAACGAAGGGCGAACTTCGCGATGGAGTCGACACGACGGTTGGCTCAGTATTTTCTCCAGTGGCATTAGCAGGACAAGGTCTCCCTCTCCCGAGGACCGCAACCGATGATTCTATAGATACCCTGCTTATTATGGGCGGCGAGCCATATGACATGGCGTTTTGTTTGTATACGTTTGGGGTTTTCTGGTTATTATATGGCGCAATGGATGGATAGCTAGCGCACTGGGATACAGAGCACAGCATGGATTGCCAGGACTTTAGAATATCACATATTTGAATTTGGTTATAGTCAACGGGCTGCGCATGATTGGTGTCAAAGACACTTGCGCTGGGATAGGAATAGATATGGTATACCCTCATGGTCGGTTGTTGCATGTATTTTACGGACCATGATGAATAATTAGCAATTCACCTCGCTTCTTCGTTTCCCTGTTGTTTTATGAGGTTACATATTTGCAGGGGCTGAGATAATGCTGAACGCCGAATAAATACCATTGTCTATTTTTATCTTTACATGACCGAATTGTTTTTTTTAAATGACCTTTACCCTGTACTCTTAGATGTAACCCTTGAGAATGGCGGCCTCTGCATTCAATATCGATGAACCAGCGGCACCAATAACGGCTGAAACGGTCAGTGTGAGACAAGCCCTCAGTGGGGAAGATGGAAGACTCACTGTTGTGGCTCAGGGCTGTAAACTTAATGTCAAAAATGCCAGCCTCATCCTCGCGAACACGTCCCACGCTGACAGTGTATCCACGGCCAAGGTCGCGGTCCAGACGGGGCTGAGGACGGTCAGGCTCATCGTCACCAAAGACCTTGATAGCGGGCTCAGGTGCAGAAGGGCATCCGAGAGCCTGGGCCTCACTCTTGTAATCCCGAAGAGCCTTGCGAACCTCCTCAGCTGAAGGAGCAGGCTTGCGCTCGAAACTCAAACTAACACATGCAGTGTGGCCGTCCATGACTGGAACTCGGTTACAAGTGGCGGAGACACGAAGACCCTCTTGCTCAATGAAAGCAGTACCCTTTTCATCAAGGCGACCAAGAATCTTGCGGGCTTCAGTCTCGAGCTTATCCTCCTCGCCAGAGATGAAAGGGACAATGTTATCGATAATGTCCATGCTGGAGACTCCAGGGTAACCAGCGCCAGAAACGGCCTGCAGAGTAACGATGGAGACGGTAGAGATGGGTCCGAAAGCGGCCTGGAGAGCGGCGAAGGGAATGACGAGACCAATGACGGCGCAGTTGGAGTTGCACACGAGGAAGCCCTTGTTAAGAGAGCGAACAGAGCGCTGATGAGGGATGAGGTCGAGATGGGGGAGGTTGACGGTGGGAACGACGAGAGGCACAAGAGGATCGCGACGGTAGTTCTTTGCGTTGGAGAAGACAGGAATATCGGCCTTGATAAACTCGAGCTCTGTAGACACGTAAAGTTAGTGTGATCAGTTAGTACTGATACGTGATAGAGAGGGATATACCGATATCGCCAGCGACGTCAGAGTCAAGACCACTAAAGACAACATCACAGTCCTTGAACTCCTCGGCCTTGCATTCTCTCACAACCATCTCGGCAATATCGCCCATGGGTGCAGCCTGCTTCCATCGTACGGCATCCTTGTATTTCTTGCCGGCGGAACGAGATGAGGCGCCGATGGCGTGGAGGGTGAGGTATGGATGCTGAGCAAGGAGGAGGATGAAGCGCTGGCCTACAGAGCCAGTGGCACCGAGGACACCTGTATATGGATCAGTATTGATGCTAAATACGTATGTAGATGTTGGCATGGAAAGGAAAGTGGTGCGAAATCGGGATGGAGGGGGAGTGTTGAGGGGCGACTTACCGCACTTCTTGGTAGGGAATTGGGAGGCCATTGTCGGTGTATATTTATTACAGAATCAATGAGAGACTCTTGGCGGCGAAGATATCAAGAGAATCAGTCAAAGATAAGGTATAGTAAGTTGGGGGGTTGCTGGTGTTTAAATTTTGGCGTTGAGGCGAGTGAGTCTTAATGAAAGTACCGAGTAGTATATAACCCCGCCAAACTTCCGACCCCGTCATCGGAGCTGAGTCGCCGAATTTCAACAGGTCGTAACCCCACTACGGCATGAGAGTGCTCTCTCATGGGTCGAGTTTATCGTCGAATAAAAGGCTTCAGTTTTTCAATTGGTCGCATCTAGAACGTTTAACGACAGGCAAAACACATGTTAAAAAGACTCATTGAATTGACAAGTAAGAAAAACCCTCCGAAGAGTTATAATTCGACCCGAAGCATTATGTCATGCACCTCTATCCGGAGGATGTCCCAGAATTGATTGTGAGCTTATTCAAGCTTCACCCTTTCTTCATGTAACGAATTTCTCAAATGCAATGCAAAAGAATGAATGAAACGCCAGGTCATGCACATTAGAACCTCCAAGGCCCCCCCCCTTGTCCATCTCGAAACCGTATTGCCATATCCTGTCCTACTTGTCTTGTCGGTTCGCGATCTAAGGCTCAATTGCGCTCTCTCGTTCATCGTTGGAGTAAATTCGGAACTGGACGAAGATGATGAGATCCTCAGCAATGGTGCCCAGAGAGCCAAGCAACCAAGGAAGCGCGTTCAGCAAGTACTTCTTGTCTTGGGAGTAGGCTACCAGGCTGATGCCGTAAGTGAGGTTTCCGCTCATTGAGAGCATAAAGAAAAGCAATGCGAGACCTGCAGATTATTAGTCTCATCCATTGATTACAAGCATGGATCAACATACCCTCGCATGACTTCTCCCGGTGGTTCTTGATGATTTGGGGAATTCGAGCACAGAGATAGAGCGCTGCGCTGATGTAACCTAGAATGAGTCCAGCAAGCTCCAATGGGCTCTGGGCCTCCTCAGGCGCATCGGGGGTACCAGGGTCACCGCTCTCCCAGGCACCGACCTTGAACGAGACAAACCAGCCAGCGAACCCAATGATGTATACAGCGAGTAGGCTCAGGGTGTTGTGAAGCCAAGGCTTGCTATCGGGGGTCTCGTCTTCGCCGGTCACAATCTTCCTCAATGGGTCCATCGAGGACTCGGTATGTGTCGCATGGCGGCGCTGAGACCCAGGGAGGCCAAAAGAAGAGCTTCGTCTACGGGATCCGTTGATCAGAGGGGAGTCTTCTGTAGGATCGCTTGATCGACGTTCCCCGGCACGACTCGCTCGGCGGGCATTGAGAGCATTGTAGTAGACGGCCTGGCCGATGAGGACGAGATCGGCAATGCAGAAGTATCCTGCTAGGGCAACTGCAGTGGGAGCTAGGTGGGTGAACAAGGCTCCTAGAAAGCAGTTAGCCAAACTGAAAGTTGACGTGGTGGCAAGCCACTTCTAGCCGACGTCAAATTTTTTGACCAGGGCACCAGACAATTGGCGTAGCAATGGTATTTGTCTCTGGGCCGAAGACAGATTTTGATTTTGGGGGACTCAGGTAGGAATGAGAACTAACCGATGAGGTTTGTGATGTCGCCCAAGAGCCAGACGACCAGAAAGGCCATACTGAGGCCATCGGCGCTCTTGGCCTTGTAATTGGCGAACAATTGGGGTAGCTGCAGAGCATCGTTAGCCAAGATGGGGGAGAATTAAGGGTTCGCGTATGCAATTGAGATGGCGAATGTGAATGCGAATGCAACACAAAGACACGCGAATGAGAGAAGAGAGAGGGACGCACGAGGAGACATATCCAAGAGGTCAAGCTGATGCTACCAAAAATGCCCGACAGAGCCAACGTGACCGGTAACGCATGCGCCGCAGCGGCGATTGAGGTTGAAGCCAGCAGCGGCATCGTCGTCGTTTTCCAAGGAGTTGAAGAGTGTAAAATCGAGAAGCAGAATGAGAATGAGAAGAGGTTTAGATAAGAGTAGATCAGATCAAGTAGAAGAGGAAGAGGGTGGTGCGACAAAGGTGGGTATCACGAGGGCAGCCAGCGACAAAGAGAGATCGAGTGCAGGAAGCAAGTGAATGAATGTAGATCCAATTCCAGAAGAAGCTCTGTTCTGGTTCAGAGTTTACTCGGAACCTGGCCAAAGAAAGATTCAGAGTTTGTTCTTCTGGTTGTAGTATGAAGACAAGAAAGAGTAAGGTAGAGCAAAAATATTTCAATAAGCAACAAAGCTTAGTGTTCCACGATCAACGGTTAACCATACCAAACCCAGGTAAAGCAAAGCAAGGCACTGCAGACACAAGACACAGACACAGACACAAGACTCAGATAAGAGATCCCCATGAGAGGTCGGCCCCGTTGTCGGGTTCAACAGTGGAGGTCTTATCGATCCGTTTGGTAACTGGTCATCATGTATTGGCCAGTTGAGGAGCGCTTATCGTTCAAAGTGACGCACTGGGCTTGGAGATCTTGTGAGCTAAAATATGGAGAACTCGCAGGCATTCCAAGGCGCGTGAGTCTTTTGTGTGAGCCTGTCTGAGAATATTGATCCTAATAGACAATAATACTTAGGTAACTTAGTACAAGTTTAGTATAGACTTAGGATAACCTTTGCTGAGTTTATTTTGACGCCGTACATTAAGGTCCGGTGTTTTCTTGCCCCCCAAGGCCTGTCCTAAGAGGGAGGGTGAGCCGAGTTTGTGAGATGCAGGGTCTATCTCCTCCGATAAGAGGCCGATTGACCCTTATCATGATAGTACTATCCATTCCGTACAAGCACTTATTGTAGACTCATGATACCTTATTGAAAGCTCATGCAGTAACCTCTAGTCTAAATAGGTACTTTGCATAAATCTACTGCTTTCATGATAAACTATCGAACTCAACTCTTCAGACGAGAGCAAACCTCAGCGGCCTCAGCTCCATTCTTCCCAGCCACTTTCAATGTTTTACCGTAGAGCGGCACATGCCCACCATGATTCGCCATAAGCTTGCCCATCCCGCCTCCAGTAGCTAAGACCCCTGACAACTCATGAGCAACTATCGATCATGCTCCAGGAACTAACGTAAACACAGGCGGGCTTAGCCAACCGCTTCGCGCTCAGCTCTCCAGCTTCAAACGCTTTGGTCCAATCTAGAGTTCGCCTCTTTTTGATCCGTAACCTTGAGCTTAAGCGTGTTCATCTTTTTAACGTCTTCATTTCCTTCTCAGATCTTTGATTCTGTTCCCTTCATTTCGTGACTGGTAAACCTGCTGCATTCCATAGCGCTTCAGACCTCGCGACCGCCCTCGTTCTCTTATGATGAAGCTCTTCTCAGCTGGCGCGCTGGCTCTTGGCCTCGCTCACTTGCCTAGCACTTTTGCCTGGGGCAGTGAGTTCATTCATTCATCATAAAAGATTTTGTTTGATAAGCTCACATTTCACAGGTCTCGGTCATATCACCACCGCTTACCTCGCCAGTCACTTTGTCGCAAACACCACTGAGACTCACCTCAAGTATATTCTCTATAATGACGAGGAAGACTACTTGGCGAAGATAGCATCCTGGGCAGACTCGATTCGCTACACAGATTGGGGTCGATACACCAAGACATTTCACTTCATCGACGCTCATGACAGCCCTCCCAACAAGTGTGACGTCGACTTTGAGCGTGATTGCAAGGACGGTGGTTGTGTTCTCACCGCCCTCAAGAACTATACCCAGCAATCAGTTGAGCCTCAGTTGCCCTTCTGGCAGCGCAACCAGGCCGCCAAGTTTGTCGTTCACTTTATCGGAGATCTGCACCAGCCTCTACATAACGAAAATGTCGAAAAGGGAGGTAACGGCCTCGCGGTAACATTTGACGGCCGCACGTTCAACCTCCACCACGTCTGGGACAGTTCTATCGCCGAGAAGCTGTTGGGTGGTCTGCACGGCGACCCCTTCAAGCTCGCCAACAACTGGGCCAACCAGCTTGCTGTCGAGATCACAGACGGCAAGTTTGCAGAGGCAAAAGACGCGTGGTTGAAGGATCTGGACTTCAGTGACCCCATCAGCACGGCACTTGCTTGGTCCCGAGAGGCCAATGCGCTCGTCTGTACTCACGGTAAGTCGATTACCCCAGCAACAGCTGCTGTATTTGCAACTCGTCTCTAACATGGGATCTACAGTTCTGCCCGAGGGTGCCGATGCCATTGTCGGTCAGGAACTCGGAGGCGAGTACTTTGAAAAGGCCGCCCCTGTCATTGAGGAGCAGGTTGCCAAGGCTGGTTACAGAATGGCTGCCTGGCTGGACAAGATCGTTGAGGCGTACAAGGATGTTGAGCAGCAGCAGATGTCCGAGGAGCTCTGATTTATTTTTTTAGGGAGATTAGACTGTTCTGGATATCTTGCAGCTGGTAGCCTCTCATGAATAAATGTGTTATGCTCTTTGAGAATGCAACTTTTGTGGTTATAAACCTGTGCTATTTGATTCTCCGCGATATCTACACGATATCTTCAACAGAAAATGCCAAGACCACGAAATGCCATGTGGAATCAATGTGCCTTGGTCCAGAAATTCAAAACATGACATCATTTCAATTAGGAGAATTGAATGATTCAGGCTCGCTTCGTGATCATGATTCATCCAGTGTCACTCCAAGCCTGAGACGAGTGATCAGTCAACAATTGCTGAAGGATTCTGCAAAAATTCGGATGAAACAGGAACTTTGGGGAAACCGCAAATGTCTTATCGATATTGTAAGCTTAAAATATTATCGTGATGCCGAGTGAGATATTATTACAGGTCCGGTTACAGGGCACTGTTTGGATGCTACCTCGTGGTTGCAACGCCAATGTAGGGCATTGATGCTATTGCTAGTCTGCGACGTACCTGCAACACGCCTCCAACTTGTCTGTCAGTCGTGAGAACTGGTTGGATAGAGCTTAGATCTGAGTGTAAAGTCTGGATGAGATTAGACTGAACTCAATGCTTGAGTTTGTGAGTGTAATAATTAATCAAGTGAAGAATATTTCTGAGTCTCAGACGACCCGTTGACAGTTATTCGTGAACATATAATACTGTGATATAATATAGCAATATAGAGCTAGGGTTGTCAGTCTTTCTCTCTTGGCATTATCAGCTACCTAGACATTAGAAACAGAACGAAGACACAGCAGTTGTTGACGGCGGACGAGCCAAGTCGACAATTACAAAAATCCCTATCCCAGAGAGGGCATCGTCTATTATTCATCAGATTCTCTCGATCTGGTTGATGAGTTTTCTGTTACAGGGCGGACATTCTCCGACACTGGCGCTTAACAATGGTAGTTTCGAGCTTCAGTGGACGAAACGCACTGTGCTTGGAGTTATAGGCACCCCCGGCAACTAGCTGCAGGTACAGGTCGGTGCATACTCTGATTGGCTGCGCAACCAGTTACACAATCCCAATTGGGAAGGAGGGGGCACGGGCTGAGACGTCTGCAGCCGCATCCCATCTCCAACGTCAATGGAACTCCTAACTTGACTTGGATCTCTACTATTACATACTCACTCAATCGCCTCTCGGAGATATGACCGTCCGCCAAGCTTAGCCAAGCGCTAAGGAAATACACTACACTCGCTCCCAATCGACTAACATTCTCCAACGTCCCTGTTACACCACCTGAGAACCGTCATCTCGACCTGCCCTCGAGAGCCCAGCCCCAACAGGCATCTCAACTCTGGAGTCTGGACCCCTTGGCCAAGCCGTCAGGTCGCTTCTGCCGCTGTCTCATGTATTCGTTTCTCGGTCTCAGAAGTCCCAGGCAGTTAGTACTGTCACTGTGCTCCACGATGTTCTGTCTTGGTGTTTCTCATCAAGTTTGATCGCTGCCCCCTTGCCTTTCAAGCGAGAGATGGATCTTGGGTACTGTTGCCTCGCTCCAGCCGTTATCCATGGAGTTGTGACCCTGAACCGGGCCCCTTCAACCGCCCAGATGCCATCCGGTCTGATGTGCAAGCCCGAGACGTTGAATTGTCTGGGATTGTCATAATGAAAGCCAGCCTCTTTTCTCGGCAACTTCGTTTCCGATCATCATCTCCAGTTTTCCCCGATGCTTTAAACCCTCGTCCCTTCGTCCCAAAATCGTACCATCTTCTCTTCTCCTCAGCTCTGGTAGTGTCTCTTTCTTTCATTCGTTCCTTTGAGACCAAGTTGACTTTACTGTGACCATTCTTTCTTTCTTTATTTCGAATTGGTCTGGCACCGTTCGAAAACTTTTATACAACATTGTATTTGCCCTCGGCTTCATTTCCTTTTTCACTTTCTCTCGGCAAGATCAACATAAAGTCATCACAATGCAGGTCAAAGGCGTAATCATCGCTCTTCTGGGCATCTCTGCCATTACTGAAGCTGCTGTTGTCCAAAAACGACATCCCCTGGCTCGCGCTCTCCAACGACGACAATTCGGCGGCGGTCGATTTGGAGGCGGTGGCCGTGGAGGAGGCGGTGGCGGCAACAACGGTGGTCAGGGCGGCAACAATGGTGGTCAGAACAACGGCCAAGCCAATAACGGCGGCAACAACGGCGGCAATAATAATGGAGGCAACAACGGAGGCGGCGGCGGCAACACTCTGGACGCCAACGCCGTGCAAACTGGCTCGCAGCAAGATGGCAACAACCCCGGATCGGATGAGCAAGCTGCCTCTGCAACGTAAGTCACATCTGCCTTTAGTTGAGGAAAAACGACAACTAATATGACTTAGGGATAACAACAACTTCATCAACTTCTGTGCTGGCCAGACACTCACCAATGGAGAGCAAAACCGGGACGGCTCATGTAACGGTATTCGTAAGTTTTACGATCCTCCCTTTCCTCTCTGCACATACTGACTCCTACAGCTATGGGAAAGATTCCCGGAGCCAACAACATGGTTTCTTCAGTCTTCACGTCGCCTCAAAACGGTGACAACATTGAAGCCAATCAAGACTTTGATATCTCAGTGCAGTTTATCAACTTTGCACCTGGCTCGTTCACTAATGCAACAACCACCTACTATTCTGCTCCCCAGGACCTCGACGGTGGTGGTAACATCATCGGTCATACCCACGTCACTGTCCAAGACACTGGCGATAGTCTGAACCCCACTCAGCCTTTGGACCCTCAGCAGTTTGCCTTCTTCAAGGGTATCAACGATGCTGGTAACGGCCAAGGTCTCCTCACTGCCAAGGTTGACGGCGGTCTGCCTGCCGGTAACTACCGTATCTGCAGTATGTCTGCCGCATCCAACCATCAGCCTGTCCTCATGCCTGTTGCTCAGAGAGGAGCACAGGATGACTGCATCCGTGTTACCGTTGGCGGTGGCAACGGCGGCGGCGGCGGCAACAACGGTGGTAACAATGGCGGTAATAACGGAGGCAACAACGGCGGCAACAACGGAGGTCAGGGCGGCAACAACGGAGGCAACAACGGAGGTCAGGGAGGTCAGGGCGGTAACAATGGAGGTAACAACGGAGGTCAAGGTGGTGGCCAGAACGGCGGCAACCAAGGTGGCCAAGGTGGTGGTCAAAATGGAGGTCAGAATGGTGGAGACCAAGCAGCTGATGCCGGTGGTGACCAGAACGCTGGCGGCCAAGGTGGTGATCAGAACGGAGGCCAAGGTGGTGACCAAAACGGAGGAGACCAAGCAGCTGATGCCGGTGGTGACCAGAATGCTGGTGGCCAGGGCGGCGATCAAAACGGAGGTCAGGGAGGAGACCAGGGCGGTCAAGGTGGTGACCAGAATGCCGGCGGTGGTCAGGGAGGTCAAGGTGGTCAGGGCGGCCAAGGCGGTAATGGAGGTAACGGAGGTGGCTTCGGTGGTGGTGGTTTCGGCCGCGGCGGCTTCGGTGGTTTCCAAGCGGCTTCAGCAGGGGATGAGTCTGGCAACAAGACGGCCTCAGCAGCATAAAGACTATGACTGGTTATCAAAGAGGGATAGACAGAGCCATTCGACTTGGCCGTAGCCCTGGCGGTTTTCGGTGTGAGTATCAGTGGTGGTCCCTGATTCGAGAATACTATTTCGCTCGAACAAGGACAGTAATCAGGGTGGAGTTTGGGTGTCTGCCTAGTTAGAATGGTTTTGGGTTTACATACATCTATGGACAATAGATGATGGATGGATATGAGCTGGAGGTGAATGTACGTCAAGATATGTTGTTTATTAGTTGAATAAGATTTGGTCACTTAATTACGATTGCCTTGAGAGTTGTGATTATCTCGTCTGATAGCTGTTGGCTCTGTGTATGCACTGAATAGCGCCAGAAAATGGTGTTGAGGCGTGGACTGTGCCATACTTAGTAAGGGTACTGTAGTTGTCGCAGAGTTGTGATATGAAACGGGCCTATCAGGGTTCAAACAACAACAGTTTCGTAGCGAGAATGACAAAAGATCAAGTGAATATTCAAGTTATAGAATGGCGATTATATGTAGCAGTTATCATCATGGACAGTAAGACCGTTGCACAGCCTACCTCTTTAAATTTAGGTGTCTAAGTTTGATGACTCAAAAATGTTTCTTTTTTATAGTAGTCCTATGTCAAAGTGGAGGGCATGATATTCTTGCGGATAGGATTTAGTTTTTGGCCTGGGAGCTTATAAGGCCTGGTAAATAAAATTAGATTTGGATATGCATAAAGAGCCTCAGTGAGGATATGCATCCGCCTGTTGGTCTCCTTCGAGGATAGATATAAGTGTTGAAGAATAAAAATCGCCTGCCGAACTCTTGTGTAACCATGAGCATTTGGACAGAGACTTACCACATGCCGATATAAAGACGTAGTGGGTAACAGGGTCGCAAAACCAATGACTCGACGACATACTTTTATTATTGATTTAGGGCATATTATTGCTGAAATTCGCCTACAAAACTACTGGAGCATTTCTTCTTTTAGTCAGTAACCTTGGAGGTTAAAGGTAAGGTACGGTAAGGTAGAGATAGATAGTACGTAGTAGGCAAGCGTATCGAGGTCTGACTTGCCACTTGCCAGTGATGACTTATCCGTGAACACTGCAACGCAACTGCCTTGTCAAAACTATTAACGTTAGTAGGGCACACCTTCTCTCGCAGTTTACTCACGGCGAACCTGAATTCCTACTTACACTGCAATGGCAGGAGGTAGGTAGCACTTGAACCACTAACCTTGTGTTGAATTTAGGTACATTGAGACATTCACTTACACTCCCTCCAGCCAACACCAAGCATCCCAGTCCCAGGTCTTGATACGTGAGACAGAACTTCAATACTGGTTACGGTCTTTGCCAACAGAGCCTTTACGTGATACCATAGACCAGTCTAAGGCCTCTGAAAGCGGCTGAATTCCGATTCGGCTGACTACATTCCAAGCAAGCAAGCAAGCAACCATCGAATACAAGCTCCGCCAGACCCTGTGCAAGAAGAACACTGTTCTAGAAGAAAGTATAGTTCACTTGCCCAAGCAGGCCTAGATCATCCAACGGCCTCAGCGAAATAAACTCGAAGCCTTACCTCGTCTCACCTAGGGCCACGGTTCATCCCTAGCCTAGACCACTCGGTCTGACGCCCGACACGACTCCCGGAAGCACAAGATCATGGATAGGGGCCCTAGCCTGGGATCACTCGTAGGGATTTGCCGATCATTTCTATGATGGTTTAGGTTCTGCCTTCGACTTATGTACTGACAATGTGGTACTCACAAGAGAAGGCATCGACTGCCTCTGCCACCGGCCACACGTAGGCGCAAGATACAAATCGATCGCCATAGCTCGGAGGTATTCCAGCTGTTGATGATGAGCCATCTCGAATCTCCGAGTGATTGCGCTTCCTGACGTGGTTTCTCATATTATGCTGGAAAGATTGACTTCACGATTGCTGGGACATGATTGAATCCTCAACGCCGCAGAGAATAGACCATACCTGATTTGAGCCACTTTAGAGAAATTTGACTCCAGGGGTTTCACAAACAAACGCCATCTCGAATCTCAGCCATATTGACGTCGATGGCTATATCTGAAAGGAATGAGAGTTCGATATATTCGGCCTAGAAGATGGTTGAGATGGCCCAGGCAGCCGACTGTCAATGCTGAGAAGATCATCATGGCTGATGGTACTGTCCAGCAAGTACTTGCGCATACCTAGGATGGGTGCTCCCCTCAAATACTCTGTATGTGTCTTCATCTTGCCTTCACCCCTGTATCAGCCCGAACGATAATCTACAACATACATGAAGGCTGGCGCTGGAGTTACGATCAGGGCATCATTCTGAATGTAATCACTCTGGCTCTATATCAGTTGCTCTACCACCCTGCGACCTTTTCTCAACTCCACGTGGGAAGGACGAGAACACCACAAACTAAAGAGCTTGATTGGATTGGCATGTTTCTTTTCACCATCGGATGAGTTCTCTTCCTTGTTGGTCTTTCTTGTGGCGGTACGACATATCCTTGGAAGAGTGTTGAGTTTTGTGCACATTAGTCATTGGTATAATGGCACTTGTCGGCTTCTTTGTATATGGTATGGTTCCTTTATGTCACATTTCTGTCCAGAGTCCGCTAATCCTGTACGGAGAGGCTCACCTCTGTTCTGTAAAACCCCTGATCACGCCCAGTGTTTTTAAGGACACTGGACTCGTCGCAGTAGTCACCTGTGCGATTGTTACCTCCATGGCCTACAACTCCTTGACCGTTCTCTGGCCTACAATTATCAGCACACTGTACACCGCATATTCCATCAAAGTTGGCTGGCAAAGCTGCGTGAGTGGTGGTGGAGTTGTTCTGGGCCAGGCTATGTCAGGTCTCGCTATCGCCTATGTTCCTCGCCTCAAGGTCCAGTGCACTGCTGCTCTTGTCATGACTTTCATCACGTCAACGTCTTCCATTTCTCCTGACCGGTGGGTAAACACAATCGCATTTAGGTTGATTGCATGCACTGCTGTTGGATACATTGAGAATGTTGCACGCACCTGTGTAACTGTCCTCAGGGAACCCCAGATATCGGGATAGCGTCTGGTATTCTTGTCCTCGGGGGTGCCATTTTTCAGGCTGTGTATGTCGCTATTCTCGGCAACGAGTTCCCGAGGAAGATTCACAAGTATGTGATCCCGGCTGCAACTAGATCTGGCCTGCCAACCAAGTCCCTACCTTCACTCTTTGAGACTATTAACAAAGGCGATTACTCAGATGTACCCGGTCTAGGGGAGGAAAGAAAACTCGGGACCTTAACCCTAAGTGATGAGAATATTAGGTAAATTTAGCCCAAGTTTAGGGGACTCTTTGCCTAGTTATTCTGACACCCTATATCAAGGTTTGGTGTTTTCTTGCCCCCTGAGGCCGGTAGCAACAAGGCCATCGTTGACTCAGTCGGAGATGCCGTTGTCAAAGCCTACACCAGCGCTACACTATGTCTTCTACGCTACTATACCGTTCTCATGCATCATGCTTGTCGCCGCTTTCGTGGGTCCAGACATTAAAAAGTCCTTGACGTACAATGTTGCAAAACGTCTCCAGGATAAAAGCTTCCGTAAATCCTCTACCGGAACCAACGAAGTTGAGGTTCAGGCCATGAATGAATGTCTTTCGGATGAGGCTGGAGTGGCTTCATATGTGTAGACTTTCTAATGAATTTCTTCCGATGGTGCTATGCTACGAACTGTATATAAGAACGGGAAATGATCAAGACGTCGAGCAAGCAAAGCCTTAACATGACATGGAGGGTTTAAACCTGCCAGTAGAAAAGAATGTGACCTAGTCAGTGGCATGTTCAGTTCAAGCTTGAATTCAATGAGCTTAGTATTACTCGTGCAGGTTGGAGACGCTTTTGAGGTTGAAGGACACGCTTAAATATTATGAGATTCTTATCTGCTCAAGCCTTGAACACATACAAAGACAAGAGTTCCTAGAACTGTCCGAAAACACCAAAGCCAGAACGCTATGATCGAATCAACCGCCCGATAGAGAGCTCAGTCTCTAACCACGCTGAGGACTATCGAAATATTAGCATGTATGACTCTAACTACTCAATTTATCAAGAGATCGAACTTACGCGCAACCTTGAGGAGTAACTACGCCAAAAGGACAATCGCCAGAGAGTTTCTCAACGATCTGGTTAAAGAAAACAGGCGTGACGACGATCCCGGCGCTGACGAGCGAAGCAGCCGCCGAGAGAAGCGTGACAAAGACTGTAGTCTTCATGTTGTTGATGGTGATGATGACAGATATGGAGATGTATATGAATGTGAATGTATATAAATGGTGGCGTGATATTGAGCGATCAGAAGAGAGTGGCACTTGAAGTTACAGAACCAGCTGAAACGACAAAAATTAACTAGACAGGGGAGAAGAGAAAGAGAATGCGTAGGTAGTGCAAAGAATTAATATGTATATTTGAACGTGTTCAAGGGAAGAACAAAAGAGGACGGGAGGGGAAAAGGGAGACAGACAGGAAAATGGAGTGCGAGGCGGCAAAAAAATTAGGGTGTTACAGGGGCGAGACGGTCGAGGTTTCAGGTTGTGAAACGAAACGAGTCCGTTACTGGTTCGCGAGAGGGAGACTATTAGCAAATACGGATATATCTTCCGATCCAAAATATTTGAACATTATTAGTATCACAAACTACAGTACAGACTGTGGAGAGTAGGAGGCATTTAGCTAATTCAAAGTCTGCTCTGACTTGATCTCTTATTATACACATAACCCCCCCTAGTCAAGCCTTATCATCTATAGTGTTGCAATACGCAAAACTTATCCAACTAGCGACTACAAGACAATTCGTATCACTTAGACATGGCAAATCATAAGTGTAAAAATCAGAAGCTTCAATGTACCAAATCAGCATGAGCCCAGGAAAGGTCAACCCGAGCAAGAACCTGGACCACTAAAACGAAAAGCCCCCGCGTTATATACGCGCCAGAAATGTATTGAAGCTATAGCAACAGTCGACTATCCTCCAAATCATCAAATCCTTAGTAAACTCCCCCACTCTGATAGTAATTGTCGGGTGCAGGAGCTGAAGGACCATCGCCGGGTGGCACATAAGGCTTGTATTGAGTCTGACCACCAGCACCACCTTGACTGGGCAGGCCATGACGAGCATCATATCCGCCGGCATTCCCTGGGTTCAGAGGGGGAGGTGTCATGACACTCTGAGGAGGAGGGGGAGCTGACCCTGTGGGCATGGGAGGGACTTGGGAAGGGTTGTAGCTCTGGTATTGTTGAGGCTGCTGCTGATGCGATGCATAAGGACCAGGAGGTGGTGCGCTGGCGTTCTCGTTGGGCTCTTCCGGAGAATATACCGAGCTTGAAAATGTGGCAGCCGAGGTCGGCTGGTGTGGGTTGTTGGTCGCTATAGGGGAATCGTAGACAGATGTAGCCAACTCTTGGGCTCCGTATGTGCTACCAGGTCGTCCTCCCGTAGGCGCTTGCGTGTAAGGGTTGTTGCTCTGAGATTGGTTGTAAGGATTGAAGTTGGGGCCTGGTGTTGAAGTATTGATAGGGGCTGGCTGTTTGCCATTGGAAGGAGACTCGGTCCGGGGAGGGTAGGGCTGCGAACCAGCGGGCACTTCAGCTCCTGCTACATAGAAAGGGGCCGGTTGACCTTGAGGTTGGTTCTGGAAGTTAGGGGGAGGAGACGATGCTTGATAAGGAGGTTGCTCTGTTAAAGAGTCAGAAAGAGGTTCTTCATTGCAAGGGCAAAGGGCTATCATACCTTGTGGGCCAGGAGTATAATATCTCGAGGGGTCCTGAGGAGCTGCTCCCTGAGGAGGATATCCGCCTGCTTGAGGATAGCCCTGACCGGGACCCGGTCGCATTGCGTATTGCTGGTAGTTGTGCTGAGGAGGATGGGCCATAGAAGACTCCAACAGAGCCTCGTAGTCCCTTCTAGCTTTGATAAACTTTTCGTTCAGCTGTGTAAAGTCATCTGAGAGATGTATATTAGCATCATATCCAGTCTTGGGGGCGTCTAATGCTAACCCTTCTTCTGAGAGTACTTCTCGATCAGTTTGATAAGCTTGGGTCGAATCGCAAGAGTCTGGTGGTAAAGCTTCTGCAGGACCTGTTAGCATACTGAAAACACTTTGCATCATACTGGGTGCTTGCGGAAATCTCCTCGTTATCTTCCTCTCGGGGCGCTGTGTTGGAAGTGCTCAACAATGTGAGGAGCTTCTCAACGTTCTTGATCTCAGCGAACACCTCGGCCTCCATCTGAGCCTCGCGTTGTAACTCATCCGGGGTGGGATCGGTAAGCTTTTCGACATAGTTGAGCGGGAAGATGCCAGTCTTGCCCCTGAGAGAGCCTCGCCACCAGTCCTTGTATACACTCTCGAGAACAGCAATCACATCGCCTTTCTTGAATTCCAGCTCTCCGGGCTCAGAAGGAGCAAAGTCGAAGAGCGCGCGTACCCGGCTGACCGTGGCCGCTGTGGTTCCAGCCGGCGCAGCAGGAGCAGGGCTCTCTGTCTGGCCACTAGGGCCGGCTTGTGCGCCTGGACTGCTTGCAGCAGTCTTCTTGCGCTCTTCCTCCTGCAGACTCAACTTGAGGGCCATCTGCAATTCATCCTCTTCCTTCTGGCGATCGAGCTCGGTAAGACCCTGCTTTTGAGGAGCACTTGGGGGCTGGATGTTCGGGTTGCTTCGTGTGGCACGGTTGTAGGCATCGCTCATGATGCCCAACTCGGGATCGCTGCTGAACATTTCGGACCAGCTCTTCATATGCTCAATAATTTTAGACTTGACTTGTGTATGGGTATTACGGTCGTTGGTGAGACGGAGGAGGGCATCTGTAAAGGCACGGCTGGAAAGTTCGCGGTGCATATTCTTCCCACAGTTTTGGGCGAGCGCATGCGCAAGCTGATTGAGTCAGTAAAACAAGGCTTGACATGCGGGCGTGGTATTCAGCATACCTCAAGAGTGTAGAGCTGGACATTGGCGTTGCGATGCGCAAGGCGTCTGATGATGCTCTGAACGGCCTCCTTGGGGCCATTTGGGTCGTTGCCTACTTTGTCGCAGACCTCGATGATGGCGCCCCAATCCTCAGACGTGAGGTTCTCGTCGGTGGCCTTGGCTACATCGGTGTTAGTCGCAAGAAAGCACAGATCGAGACGAGAGCCAGTTGTTGGGAGTCTCTTGTCCGACCCGAATAGAACGGGGGGCGCTACATACTGACGACCTCATCATAAGGGCCTGCTGCTGAGGCTCGGAACATGGTGGTTGGTGATTTGACTCGGGGTATCAGTTATTGGCGGGGATGGAGTGAAGGCGAGAGAGAGGTGCGGGGAGGAAGTCGTCGGCCGAGAGCCTTGGGTATGTAATGCGAATATCCACCGTATATAGAAGAGGAGTCTCGATGAAGGCGACGATGTTGCTGTTTGGTAGTGGAAGAAGAAGAAGGCTGGTGATAACGATGCGAGATGCGAGATGAAGGTCCCGTACCAAGACCCTGGGTTACGTCGTCGGCGGTCGCACTCTCCACACAGGCACGTCACTTATTACTCTCAGAGGGTGGTAAGTTAAGAAAGCGTCGTAGGCGTTTGGCGTTGTCTTGAGGACGAGAATATAGTGAATGGGTCGAGGGTACTTTACCCAAGTGGTTAGGTGCCTAGTAAATAAAGTAACTTAAAGAGTTTGTAGGTAGCAAGTGTTTAAACAGATCAGGCTCCCAGCTTCGCTTTTACCTTTGGCTCGCTCTGATGACGAACGAGCGGCGAGCAAGTAGCGGGGCTGAGCTACCTCCCCAGGAGGACAAGCTCCCTGGTCCATGTGGCTTGAGGGCCACGCGTGCGCCACACCAAACTTGATCCAGGAAATATTTACCTCCATTAGTACTATATACCTACCTAAGTAAGCTTACACAGCCAACTTGGGTATTGTCAATCAGGTTTGATTCCATTTTTACTACGGATAAGTATCACCTGACAGTCTCACATTGGCGAGCTTCTATCGAGATCTGTCATGCATCTAATCACGGTACTTAATGGGCTGAAGCATGCTGCTTATGCTTTCACTGGCAAAACCTGATACGAAATATGCTGCTTCTACACGTTTTCACGGAACAATTACTTTCGTTGCGGAGCCTTTAGTTTATTCTAGCACCTACTCATCGTCAACTCCGTGACAAGTTGCGCGTCCCCCTCCCTTATCCCTTTGGTGACGTCCTTACGTGGCGTGGTCCTCAGATTGGGTATCATCGGACTTACAAGATCCCAAGCTTCACACCAAGAGCAAACATACCTTGGCATATATATCACATACATAATGTAAATAAATATTCAGTGGCTCGCCTTATAAGAATGATGCCGCTTGCTAACGCTACAGTCAACGCTGCTTTGAATCGTATCAACCTATGAATAATGTATACGACTCCATATACGCCGCTTCGATCCATCCATTCGTCCATACATACAGACATACATACATAAATAAATAAATGACCTGGCAATCTACTGTACCACGCATCCAATGCGCCATCCCGCCTGCAACTCCACTGCCTTGAAACATAACTCATGGCTCCAATCAAGCTGGTGTGTCGTCGCTCTTACTTTACTGTTAGTCGATGCTGTATGTAATTTGTGTCCAAAATCCATATTCAGTTATGTCATTCTCACCAACCCCGTCTTGAAGCACCACGGCTTTCATACCCTCCCTTGTCTGATGTAGCATTTGTTGCCCCATGGGTGCCGCTACGGGCCTCTTCGATGCTTCGCCGACCCTGCGGATCCATTTCTGACAGGTCAAAGACCAGAGGCTCCTCATTAATCGAGTCATCGTCACCCCGAACCTGCCTGGTGATAGATCCGGTAAAGCTTCCACGCGATGATTGTGGCGGTGTCTGCTTATGTGAAGCCATGCCCATATATCGCCTTCTACCAAAAGGTGAGCTAGACGCTGCCGTCGCCATCAGTCCCTCAGGAGGGTTCTCTTCTGACAGACCGCGCTGCATCAGCCCTGGCGTGTCAGAGGTCTCGATTTCAGCTGCTGGTTTGAGTTCATCCGACCCCCTTTGAGTTGACCCTCCCTCGAGCTGCATCTGCCTACCTAGCAAGATGCTTAGAGTAGGTGGTTCTCTATCATCAGCACCTAAGCTGATAGATCGGTGCGCAAAAGCAGAGTCCGGCTCATCTTCATCCGCCATCGACCGATTGTGGAGTGCAACAGAGCTCGCCCTTCGCTCATACGTGGCCAGCCGTGGTGACAAGGGAATGTCAATGGCTGTCGTTCCATCTTGTGTGATCGTATTCTCTCTGATCGTTCCCGGTGCAGGGTTGTTATCAGATATTCGCCCCTGACGCGAAGTAATTCGTCCTTGGCCAGTGTAATCAATAATCGAGTTCTCGCTCAATCTTGAAGGGATTGCTGGCGTGTGGGGTGTGTGAGGGGACAGTGGCTTCCCAGGAGACGACGAAGCAGACACAGAAGCTGGTGCAGTCATCCCAGGCACACTCGTCAATTGTCGACTGGATGAGCTCGATGACCTCTGCATCTGTACAGACGATGTCATCGAATCCGTGAGTGCGTTATTAGAGTCCTTCATTTGATGGAAGCGCGATAGTTGCGCCACAGTCTTGTTAGTCGCCGATTCACCTTTCTTTGAGGGACCAAAGCTCTTCAGGGTCTTTTTACTGTCCAGTGCGCTGATGAAGTCTGAGAGATGTTTGTGGTCGTTCTGGAGCGAGTCTGAGCTGGTTCCTGCAATCTCATCCAGGAGGTCAGATCCTGGTTGTGCCACCGATGAGGCCAAACTCTGCCTGCCACTACTGCCCTGTTCGTCATCGCCAGCTCTGCTGGCTCCTCCAAAGGATAGACGACCACGGCGATGTGTGAAGCTGCTACTGTAGCGACTAGTCGATGCTGGTCGCGGGGAGCTGGCAACAGCAGGGTCCGTAGATGCCGGAGGAAGAGGAGGACCACCGCGTAGGGAAGCTGGCATACCAGCAGTAAGAGATGTTCGGTTTCCTGCTTGCTTAAGGGAAGGAATACCTGGACGAGCCGACGTCTGAGGAGAAGCCGGCTCGGGATCAGTCTGCCTTGGGACAGGCGAGCCCGAGAGCGAGCCCGCCTTGAAAGGCTGAAAAGATACTGAAGGACGTCGGCTTGAGCCCTCAGTCGTTCGCAGAGGGGGTCGTGTTGCACTTTGGCGTACGGGCAAAGAGCTTGGACCACCCACACCATTCTGTGCTGGTAGAGACTCTGGGGGTGAGCTTGTATCGGAGCCTGGTTGTCGCACCGATCTCAGAGCCGAGATCGGGCTGGTCCCCATTGGGACATTGGTGTGGAACGTTGAAAGACTTCCATATGCCTGCTGCATATCACTCAAGTTTGGACGGGAGCGGTTGTCACGCAGCGACCCTGCCTCCGTCGTTTGCGCTCTTGAGCGGTCATTCAGCGGTGGAACGGAAGGTCGGAAAAAGTTCTCGTCCACTCCCATGAAACGAGAACTCAGTAGAGCCTCAGAGTCATCCACGCGGAAGTTGCAATCATTGCGATAGGTGACAGTAGTGCTTAGTCGTCCAACAGGCACCTCTAAATCGCCAAACATGTACTCCGTCACGGGGTCCGGTCTGCCATCAATGGGCAGACGCAGCTGATCATTACGTGAGCGATCAGACTGAGACAAACGTACTCGGCATCGTGGAATAAGCGCTGGGTGTGAGTTCTTGGCGGGACCCTGGCTGGCAAACTTCCATGCTGGAAGAAGGCGAGTGGTGATGAAAAGAGACCGGAAGAAGACAATGGCCTTCTTGTAGATGGTGGGTAGGATCGGGCCAAAGTCCGTGGGAATTACGCCTGAGTACTTGAGCTCGACTCGCCACCTCTCAATGATAACCTCATTGTTTCTCCGGGATGCGCCAGACGAGCTGTCGGTAGAGGAACCAGATGAGTTCAGCTGTTCCATCACATCCCATCTCTTCCCAGCCTCATCAACGATGACTAGACTCTGGCTGTCTTTTAATCGAGAAGTATCCAGATAGACCTCGATAACCATTGGAGGAGGGGGGTTATCGAAGCTACCGCAAGTCTTCCAGATCTTGAGCTCATCTCGAAAGTCATCAATCTCATCCGTCTCGATTTGGAACTACCGGAAGATTAGCGACCGAGTGTGTAAACAGGCTGCAAACCTACCCATTTATTGGGTTTCCGTCCACCGTTGGCCCCGCGCGCAGGCTTGGATTTGATGCGTGAGTCGAGGACGAGTACGGCTGCCTTTGCATAGAAGTTCTGCAGGGGAGAGTAATTGTTAGCAACGGACCTTGGCCAACGTATTCAGGTATCCCAGCCATTCATACCTGGACTATTTGATCGAGCTTCCTGATCGAGTCGGCTGGAGGCGCCGGTGTCGGCACATCTCCAATAGTTGGTGAGCTGGGTGTGTCTCTACCAGTAACATTGGAGCCGGCTCGAGGCCGGGAGCCCAATGCAGCTTCTCTCGTGCTGTTGGATCGAGGTGGAATGGATGGATGGTGCGTTGCACCTGGGGATGACACCCGGGCTGGGCCACGGGGTTGTTGATGCATTATTATCGGTTATCGTATATCGTATCGTGTCGTTTGCGCAAAGAAGAGGGTACGGGTCGTAACTGTTGGTTGATGGGTGGATTGATCACGGACGTATAGGGATCTTGATCGGCCACAAGACCTGCTCATCCATGGTTCATATCGTTCGAGGCAGGCAGTTCAGGTTCATAAGGGAGAACGGAGAACGGAGAACGGGGGACTTGAGATGGATCGGTAGTCGGCGGTGCTTGGGGTCGGGGGAGTGTGGAGATAGAAGTGTAGGCAAAAGTGTAAAAAGGAAAAAAAGGAAGAAAGAAAGACAAAAGGCAGAAAGCTTGGGTCCAGGTTCAGGTCCAGGTCCAAGTCCAAGTCCAGGTAACTCCTTGCTGTCGGTCGGTGAGATGCAGATGCTAGATGCAGAGCTATGCAGGCAGCCAAACACAAACTCCGTCCAGGGTCGTTGTCGTTGTAATAGGTCTGAAGTGAGGTGTGAGAGAAGAGGGTCTAACACTGTACAGTACAGTACAGGACAGGACAGGCCAGGCCAATCCGGTCGCACTAACAAGAGCGCAGAGATGGTACAGGTACCGCGGTTTGCTTTGTGTAAGGCAAGGCAAGGTAAGGTACTTGTTTGTGTCCACAAATAGAGATAAAACAAGACGATAAGTCGCGGGTTGCTGCAGCAGGCCCAACTCTGAAATAGAAGCAAGTTCAG